GTGAGGAGATCCCCATCCCATCCAACACAATCACCCTAAATACTGTGGGGTGATGTGGAAGGCAATGGAGATCTTTTCTGGGGGTTAGGAGACCTCCATCCCATCCAACATGACAACCCTAAAGACTGTGGGATGATGTGGAAGATAAAGGAAATCTTTTCTGGGGGTGAAGAGATTCCCCATCCCATCCAACACAGTAACCCTGAAGACTGTGGGGTGATGTGGAAGGCAATGGAGATCTTTTCTGGGGGTGAGGGGATCTCCATCCCATCCAACGTGCCAACCCCAAATACTTCTGGACAGCGTGGAAGGCAAAGGAGAACTTTTCTGGAGTTCAGGAGTTCTCCATCCCAACCAGTGTGACAACCCTACATGAGGTGGAAGACGAAGGAGATGTTTTTTGGAGGTCAGGAACTCTATAGGGTCGTAAAATAGAGCAGTTAGATGGAAAGGTTTGGGGTGGGGGCCTTCAGGAGGTGACACCGAAGGGACTCTGAAGGAAAGTAGGAAAAAGAGAGCAATAATTCCAAGGGAGAACCACTCACCCATCGCAGCCATGGTTGCAGTAGGCAGGCGGCTCCTCTGCTGAGATTAGTTTCCATTTTATACCCTGGCTTAAGGGGAAAAAAAAAAAAAAAGTCCACCCCGGAAGAAAGCAGAGCATGTCATAAGAAGGGGAAGTAACAGCTGAATACACATTCAGTTCTTTTGTATTTGCTTTTACTGTAGTTGTGTTTTTTTTTTTTTTACTCACCTCCTTTGACCATGAGCCATCCATCTGTGGGATGTGATCATCAGGAGGCACAAAGGGCAGCCTCACCCTTCTGTGCTACAAGAAGGAAGCGTGGAAAATGATGGAAACGCAGCTGAAATTTCCCTTCTGGTCATGATGGTGGCATCTCCATATGGAAATCCATCTGAAGGATTCCTTCTGGTCATGATGGTGGCATCGAAAAAAATGGAAATCTATCCAAAATATCCCTTCTGGTCGTGATGGTGGCACCTCCAGGTGGAAACCCATCTGAAATGTCCTCTCCAGTGACAACAGTGGGATCTCCAAATGGAAACCCATCCGTCGTGCACTCAACTATTCCATCACTTGGGTTGTGTTGGTCTTCCCTCCGTGCACTCAACTATTCCATCACTTGGGTTGTGTTGGTCTTCCCTCCATTGGCACAGAGGGAACCAAGAGGCATCTTCGCCCAAATGCCCAAAGTGGAACAGTGCTATTTTCTTCTAACTAAATTTGTCCTTCTCTAAATAAAAGAAATCACTCATTTTCCCCAATGCTTTCAGCTCTGCTCACGTCAGAGCCTCAATCTGCATGCAGAAGGTGGAAATTCCTTCCCCATGGCCACAATGGTGGTGTGACCATAAAACCACCACAGACCCCACAGCGCAGTTTTGCTCCTCGTTTTCTGGCTCCTTTCAGTACCTCTTTTTTTTTTTTTTTTTTAATTTTTAGGTGCTTTTTTTTTTCAGTTCTTTTCCCGAAGCAGCAAGATTTCCCCACGCTGAGCTCCATCCCTCACACTGCAGCTTATTGTGAAGTGCAAGAAGAATTTTGGATGCACTCGAGGTAACTGTTGGCCCCCTGTGTCAACATTACAGCTCAATTAATGCCCCACAAGTGGGTTCTGCAGAACCACGGGGTGAGGGAAGTCAAGGCTTCTCCATCTCCATGAGGAGCTGCACTTTGGTTGAAGGGGTCACTGCTGGTAGCTGTGGGCTTTCTGCTTCAGGAGACCATTGGATGGAGGGAGCCCCGAATCCTAAAAGGCGTTGGGGTGGGAAGGACCTTAAGGGGTGCCCAGGGGTTGGGGTACCACCACCACCTCAAATCCCATCCGGCGTCCTCCCAGCTCGGCGGGGCTCCTCGCAGTGCTGGTGGATGGGTCACGTAGCCGTCAAGGTTTCACAACACTGCCTGCAATGGGTTTTTCCTGGAAGAAGTCAGGGTGTGGGTTTTCCCTGCGGTGCTACGGGCGGTGAGAGCACAAATTTGGCAAGCTGGGCTCCTCGTGGGGCTGCTCCATCCACCTCACCGGCCCACGCGCTTCCCTCTATCCCCACTAAAACCAGTTGGTGGATGCCCACGGATCACCCCAGTAAGGACAACCCAAGCGTCGCACGGTTCCCCCTCCCCATTCCCTGCTGCTTTGGGGGCTTTGTCCCAATGCCCCCATTTAACCAAACCCGTCTGCTTCCCCCCACCGTCGAACCCAAACCCACGCCATCAGATCTGGAGGTGAAGCAAAGGTTCCCTGAGCGATTTGGGAATTACAAGGAGAAACCCCACGCTCTACACACATTGCTGGGACCAGACAGGATTTTCAGAGGGCAGTTTGTTTGGATAAGGGTGAGATTAGCACATGTAATCACACGTTGCTCCATGATCACACCACGGCTTTATTATCAGGGCATAAGCAAGCTATTCATTGCATAACGAGTTCCTCCCATCTTCCTCCTGCTGCTGCTTCCGTGAGGGTGACTGGAAGCACAGCTTCCATCTGAAACTCATTGCAACACATAGGATGGGGGTAGGGGTCAGTTGGGACCCCCCCCTCTCCCCCCTCAGTGCTGGGAATTCTTTGCTATGGGGAACTGATGGCAAAAGGGGTGATGCAAAAAAAAAAAAAAAAGTGGAGAAATTTGCTTAAAAAATTGCAAATTGTTTCATTCTGACATGGGAAGCCTTTGCTTCCCGTTCCCCATTGCGGCCGTGGGGCAGAAAATTCACCCTGAGTTCGTATGGGAAAGACCTGGAGCCATTGAGAGGGAGTTTGGGTTAATCAGGAGGATAAATTTGGGTTAATTGGGCAGGTTTGGGTTAATTGGGCAGGTTTGGGTTAATTGGAAGGGTGAGTTGGGTGAGTTTGGGTACGTTAGAAGAAGTGAATTGGATGAACGTGGGTAAATTAGAAGAACGAGCTGGATGAACTTGGATCAATTAGGATGAATTGGGATCAATTAGGATGAATTTGGGCTGATTAGGATAAATGCTGATCAACTGGAAGGATACGTTTGGATCAATTTGGGTAAACGAGGACAAACGAAGGGGAGCAGAGCCTCAGGACCACCATCCTGCAGCTCCTTGGGTTGATCTCAAGCCTTTATGGTGAAAAAAAACTCCACGTTTTGTGCAGGTTTGCTTTTAGTTCCCGTTGCTCCGCTCTGTCACTCGTTAGCAGACAACAAATTATGCTAATCAGCCTTTTGCCAACTCTGTTTGGGCCGTGACAGTAATTAATGAGTGATTTCGTTAAGGAAAAGAGGCTCGGCGCCTTTGGAGCCAATCTGGGCAACCCACATTGGGTGTAGTCGGGTGGACTCGTTAACGAAGTAATTAGCCATCAATCAGCTGACAGACAGCTGGGTTTGCTGGTGACTGCAGTTGAGGAAAGATATTCAAATCCAAAGGATTTGCTCCATTTCCTCCCCACCCCAAAGGGCGCAATCGGGTCGATTTCCCCATCGTGTGCTAATTGGGGTTAATTGGACGGCCAACCATCATGGCGGACCCAAAGGAATGGGGGGCACAGGGGGGCACAGAGGGGAGCCCAGGAACCCCATTGGGTGTTGCTCCCATTGGGGGGGGTATCGCTCCTTCGGCCAATCGTAGGGCTCCTCATTTGCATGCTGATTTGCATAAAAGGAGGTGGGCGGAGAATTCCATTTGGGGTCCAGGCAACGCAGCTGAGCCATGGTGTCTGCGGAGGGGAGGAAAAAAAGACCCCAAAAGGGAAAAAGACCCCAGTCGAGGGGGGGATCCCAGAAAAGAAGGCGTCAGAAGCCTGAAAGCAGGAAACCCCCGGTCAAGAGGGTGAAATTTAGTGGGAAAACAAAACCCAAACCCAAACGGCGACAGAGGAAAAGGTCCTCCAGCCCTTCCTTCGACCCCAGCAAGATGCTCAGGCAGGACGGCAGGCTCCTGTCCCGCGAAGCCAAAGGGCTGATGGTGGCTTTCCTAAGGGACGTCTGCAGGAGGGTGGAGAGGGAAGCGGAGAGGCTGAGGAAGGAGAGCCAGCGTCCCATGGTGGGACCCACGCACGTGCGCGCCGCCCTGCACCGCATCATGCCCAAGGACTGGAAGCGCGCGGCCGGGGGGCGGTGACAGCCAGCCCCATCCCTCCCCGAACACAGAAGAGGGCTGAGATGACCCGAATCCCAAAGGGAGAGGGATGAAAAACCCCAAAACGGAGCAAAGAAACCGACGCTGGATACCCCCAGCGGGGGTGCAAAATAACACCACGGCTTTGCAATAAAAGCAAAGCCCGCAGCATTTCGCAGCGTCGGCGCCTTTCTCTTCGTTCGTTATTTCGCTTTGGCTCGGGTTTAATGAGCTGCAAGTCGAGGGTGTTTTGGGGTGGGGGAAATAAAGGGTTTCCGTGCCCTGTTTGGAGAGAGGTGATGGGGTTGTGTTCGTATTTAGGTTTGCTGGAAGGGGTGGGAGGTGGCAGTGGAACGGCTCACCCGTTCCAAATTAAATATGTGCTTTCGGGGCTGGATCCGCTTCCAGAAATTAAATAGAGAAATGATTTGGGGAGGAGTTTCTCTAGAAAAAAGAAAAAAAAAAACACAAACTTTCCCTGACCGGGAATCGAACCCGGGCCGCGGCGGTGAGAGCGCCGAATCCTGACCACTAGACCACCAGGGAGGGGGTTTTGGGGTCCTGGTGGGGGGGTCCCACTGGTGACCCCGCTGTGGGGGTTCACCCGTGGGTGGGGGGCTCTGCGCTGCCCACTTGGGGTCACTGGGTCCTTTGTGCCCCACTCGTGCTTTCTGCAGAGCTTTGCAGAGGGGTTGTGTGCATGTCTGGGGTCTGTGGGGTCTGTGGGTGTAGGGCAGCAAGGCGTGGGGTGAGGGGGAAAAAGGGGAATTTTCCCAAATTTGGGTAGGGGAAAAAAAAAAAAAAAGCTGTGTCAGAAGTGGGATTTGAACCCACGCCTCCATACGGAGACCAGAAATCCCATCGGGAAGGCTCAGCCTTGAGTCTGGCGCCTTAGACCACTCGGCCATCCTGACACCCTGCAGCCTTCCTCCCCCTCCTCATCCTCGTTCCTTAACCCGGGCTGCGCTTTGGGGGGACCCAATTCTTTGTTTTTCGGGCCCAAATCCTCGTGGAAATTCCAAGGAGGAAGGCTGACATCACAACGACTTCGGGACAGCCGACCAATCGCGGTGCCTGGTCGGAACGCGGCCCCATAGAGCCCCATAGGACTTCTGGGGGGGACCCCAACCCGGGGAGGAGGACGGGGGGGGGACCCCATGGCCACACACAGCGAGAGGCAAAGCCAACAGCAGAGGAAGATGAAGAGGAGGAGGCAGAAATTCCACCGCGTCCAATGGAGGTGTTCGTCCCGAAGGCGGCGATGGAGGCGATCCCAAAGGGGATCCAGCAACGGGATGAGGACAGAACCCTATAGGAGGAACTCGGCCCCATCCGAGCTGCTGGTGCCCACATCCCGACGGATGTCCGTCACGGCCAGGAGGATGATGTGCTCCTTCATAACCTCCTTCTCCAGGGGTTTGGTCAGCAATGCGGATCAGCGCCGGCGGGAGCGGCGGGGGTCCTTCATCGGGACCTTGGAACTCAGGGCGGCCGTGGATGCGGTGATGGAGGGCAGAGTGGGGCTCCCCTCCTCCTCCTCCTCCTCCTCCTCCTCTTCCTCCTACTCTTCCTCCTCCTTCTCTATGGGGAGCTGAAGGTGGAGAGCGTCTGGCCGCGGGGAGAAACGTCCTCCTGCCATAGGGGGAAACCAGAGGAGAAGGGGGAAATAAACTCGGTGCCCTTTCCGCCCTACGGAGCTCCTGCGTCCGTCCTGTGGGATGGGGGAGCATCAAACCCAGCGCCCCATTGGGGAAGAGACCCTGCAGCACCCTGCGTGTGTGGAGGAATGGGGGACCCCAAAATGCCACGAGGGAACCCTAAAATTGAGCCTACAGGGAACCCCAAGTGTTGACATATAGGGAACCCCAAACACCAAGGTTATAGGGGGACCCTAAACATTGAGTCAGTGGGGAACCCCAAGTGTTGACATAGAGGGAACCCCAAACACCGAGGTTATAGGGGAAACCAAACACTGAGGTTACAGGGAACCCCAAGTGTTGACATATAGGGAACCCCAAACACTGAGGTTACAGGGAACCCAAACATTGAGTCTACAGGGAACCCCAAGTGTTGACATATAGGGAACCCCAAACACTGAGGTTATAGGGAACCCTAAACATTGAGGTTTTAGGGAACCCTAACCATTGAGTCTATAGGGAACCCCAAGTGTTGAGGTTGTAGGGGAGCCCCAAACACTGAGGTTATAGGGAATCCTAAACATTGAGGTTTTAGGGAACCCTAAACATTGAGTCTACAGAGAACCCCAAGTGT